CCCCGCCCGATATCGCAAAACTGTTGCCACGCTGTCGTTTCCGAGTTAAAACATAACCGTCACGAAAAATATTTGTAAGACGCATGGCAATTAGAACAAATATTTTTTAAAGATCACGAGTGTTCGACATTCTCTGTCGTTTTCTTCTTGAGAAATGGTCGGTGTGTATTGTAGAGGTAGTCCAGAATTTCTAGATAAAAAGTAAAAAAATCTCCTTTTACGGTAAAATGTACGATTTCAGGTTGAGAACGTATAAGGATGGATGATCCGTCTAGACAGACTAAAGTCAAGTGCAGTCTATCGCAAATGTAAACGGTTAAGCTGCCTTACCTTCAAAATCACACTCGGTGTAATTTGGAACGGCTTTCTTTAACGTTGTCCATTTGGACCGTAACCACGTAACAGATGGCGTCCTAAAAACGAATCAAAATAAGTCTTCTCTGTTGTGCGATTCTGAAAAAAACTTTTTTTTCGTCATGCATATTTACAAGCTTACTTAGGAAGATCTTTCGTCATCTGCACCCAGTTGATGTCATTTTCGTCTGTCTCGTTCGCGACATACAATCTGCAAAATATGGAAATTTCCGAGTAAAATTTTTATACATTTATTACACCTAACCAGGAGCAGTTGCGAAAAATTCAAATGTAGGCCCTCTGGCAGGAATCGAAGCTGCGGCACTGCGATTACGATGCAGTGATCTAACCAACTGAGCTACAGAGTCCAGTTGTCAAGCTCTAACCAACTGAGCTACAGAGTCCAGTTGTCAAGCTCTAACCAACTGAGCTACAGAGTCCAGTTGTCAAGCTCTAACCAACTGAGCTACAGAGTCCAGTTGTCAAGCTCTAACCAACTGAGCTACAGAGTCCAGTTGTCGAGCTCTAACCAACTGAGCTACAGAGTCCAGTTGTCAAGCTCTAACCAACTGAGCTACAGAGAGACAGTTGTCGAGCTCTAACCAACTGAGCTACAGAGTCCAGTTGTCGAGCTCTAACCAACTGAGCTACAGAGTCCAGTTGTCAAGCTCTAACCAATTGAGCTACAGAGTCCAGTTGTCGAGCTCTAACCAACTGAGCTACAGACAGTCCAGTTGTCAAGCTCTAACCAACTGAGCTACAGAGAGACAGTTGTCGAGCTCTAACCAACTGAGCTACAGAGAGACAGTTGTCCAGCTCTAACCAACTGAGCTACAGAGAGACAGTTGTCAAGCTCTAACCAACTGAGCTACAGAGAGACAGTTGTCAAGCTCTAACCAACTGAGCTACAGAATCCAGTTGTTGAGCTCTAACCAACTGAGCTACAGAGTCCAGTTGTCGAGCTCTAACCAACTGAGCTACAGAGTCCAGTTGTCGAGCTCTAACCAACTGAGCTACAGAGAAACAGTTGCCGAGCTCTAACCAACTGAGCTACAGAGTCCAGTTGTCGAGCTCTAGCCAATTGAGCTACAGGGTCCAGTTGTCGAGCTCTAACCAACTGAGCTACAGAATCCAGTTGTTGAGCTCTAACCAACTGAGCTACAGAGGCCAGTTGTCGAGCTCTAACCAACTGAGCTACAGAGTCCAGTTGTCGAGCTCTAACCAACTGAGCTACAGAGAGACAGTTGTCGAGCTCTAACCAACTGAGCTACAGAAGACAGTTGTCGAGCTCTAACCAACTGAGCTACAGAGAGACAGTTGTCGAGCTCTAACCAACTGAGCTACAGAGAGACAGTTGTCGAGCTCTAACCAACTGAGCTACAGAGAGACAGTTGTCGAGCTCTAACCAACTGAGCTACAGAGAGAAA